ATTGACTGAACGACAACAAGGCTGTGGGCAAGCCGTTTTCGCGATAAGACGGGTTTGATATTTGAATTATAGCTTTCTTTTATTCATTACGAAACTTGTACGTTAATATATAATGATATCATTGTACGTTACTATTTATAATGGTCCTGCATTGTGCTGTGTACGGCGTTTATTATCATTTAAACGGGATAAGGAGATTAGTTTCTTTCGTTTTCCGAAAAATGAAACGGAGTAAGTAAAAATTAAAACTTAAGCCTTGAGACTCATTCGGTTATTGTTTCCTTCATTTTTGTAGTTCAGGGTAATATATAATACAAATTTATTATATCAATATAATGAGACGCCATAAGTTGTATGTTTAGCATTCGTTTATCTACCTGGGGGCTTACCACAACCTGCTAAAACAATATTACTTTAACCTTACATTGACTTTTCGTACCATGACGTGTTTAAAGTAAGCTTATTTTAATGTTAAAACTATGATGTTTTATCGGCAGCTTTGTGACTTTTATTCACTCAATTCGTACTATGACGCGACTTTAACATTGAAGTAATATTGTTCTTATGTTAAATTTAGCAATCTTAAAATAGTTACAAGAATGCTATGGAAACAATATAATTTTCAGTTTTATTGTTTTAATATTGATTTGTAATGATTAAAAGTTAAGTTGAACTTATTATTTACATATATCTCTTCAATATTGTGTTTATTTTTTATTTAAGTGATAGCACATAGGAAATCATTTCTCGTTAAATAAAAATACGCGATGTTTATTTCGTAGAATTATGACATCGCCGTAGATATGCTCCTCCTGCGAAACTAACAGTTGACACTAGACTATAGTTCCGAATTCACAATATAACAATCAAGACTCAGCTTGTTTTATTTATTTTCCTTCGTGTAACTGCGGTAAAAATAATCGAAAACAACGTAATTTTAATAGATTTCATTATTATATACTTATCTTTCTTTGGCAGTTATAATTCTCTGAATGTTAATAATATTACGTACTTTAAAATTGTACTACGATAGAACGATTCGGAACATCAAGAAAGAGATGGCATTATACAGTTCATATAGCCATAGACATATTGGTCATGGTACGAATATGAGTAAAATTATAATAAGCTTATTTTAAGCTTACATTAAAATAAGATTGTTTTTTGAAAGCTTATGGTATCAAGTGCAGAGTTTCTGTTTTTTTTCTAATATCATTTTATTATCTATAGATTTATTACGAATACATACTTAAGTATAGTACACCATAATAACCTCAATTGATTGTTGTAGGGCGTATACACGAATAACTGAACGAAATAATAATTACGAAGACAAAGACAACGCGATTAGAAAAAGCAACTCGGAGGTAAAACGGAAATCGATAAGCAGTAAATTAGATTCAATTATTTATGGACATTAATGCTAAAATATCGATGAGGCAAAATTATTCACGGTAAAAACCGCGTTTGTTTCAGATTGGTGTGATAATGTGTAATTCATTAAAAATAGAGAAAGAATCACATTGTTTCATTGCAGAACTTAAAAAAAGTAATGTAATCTTTTTTATTGTACTGAATATAAAATATCTATTGATGGAACACTTGTGTATACTCTGACGCCGGACATTCCTAACTTGTGCATAGTTTCTTATTTATTTTATATATGTGAACACTCTATTAACAAAATAGCCGGCAATATAAATATATACCCAGAAGTGGAATGTTTGGTGTGAGAATAGAGCGACCGCACCTTAGGTGGTATAGTTTTTTAAAGTCTAAGATGCGTTTTACAAAATGCTTTACAACTTGTACTAAACCTTCCAGTTAGTCCAACTGGCAAAGATCATGTGGTCCCTCAGTCCACACACAGATCTGCCGCCCGGGGCCAATGTTAAATTTGTAGCCCTCTCTATTTTCACTATTACAAAAGTAGTTCGTTGCAGTCGTCACCCTTGTGTTTTTCAGGATATATAGATATATATAAACTATTTGTATAATTATATACGTCTACTGTAAACGTGTAATGTATGCCTACAACAGAGTACACACACTCTGTGGCCGAACGATTACCATGCTGGACTGCCACGCAGAGGTTCTTTCGTAAGTTTGGGTGTAATTTGTGGTTGTCTATGTGTGTGTCCATGTTATCCGCGACACAGGGTTGCCCTAGTGCGGGGCTATGAGTGTGTTACGTTATTATTGCGTTATTGTAGTAATGCGTGCATGCATGCGTATAGTCGTATTATTGCTTGGTGGCAGAAATGCATGATGCATACCCGGCTTGGAGGAGCACCGAGCTCTTAAATGGGGCACCAGTATTCGCTTGTGCATAGTACCTACTGCGACATCTCGGCGGATGGCCCGCAAGGAGCGGGCTCAGGCCTACGGAGGGAACCCCGGGTTAATAGTGACACTTCCCTGGACGAACTCTTTCACAAGGAGCTCTTCTGTTACTGCTAGTGAAACTCGTGATTGGCCTTTGTTCATTTCATTTTCTATCGAAATTTCAATTCCGTTTTCATATTCCATATATCACTTTCATATCACGAATTAACCGAAGCGCCGGCGCCGGTAGGTGCCATAAATTATACCATTTGGCAACGTCAATACGGAAAAGGATGTTTTTTGTTTGTTCAATTGACTATCCAGCAGCGACATCTACATTTGTAAGCTGTGGTTTAAGATACGGTGAAATTTGCGTATATGACACGCAAATTGCACCCCTGAATAAGAAAAAAAAAACAATTTCGGTTGGGACTTGTATATTTTTATGTTCATGAAGAATACGTAATTTTTTATAACGGAATAAAAATTAGTTCGGAACAAACGTTGATGTATCGAGGATTCTTAGCTATAAGTAAGGTACATAACGATTGTTGAATAATCATGCCATCTAGTGTTGAATAACGGAACTCCTAAGCCAAACAGTTCATTGCTCAACAGTAGATCGCACAATAATTCAAATGTTCTTATATAGAATTAGATGCAGTGTGATCAGTTACGACGTTAGTGATAATAAACCCTACTGGATTCAAATAAGTTTCATTTTTTTTATAAAAATAATATTCAGTCAAGATTATATTTTGTTATTAGAATAAAATAAGACTTTTTTGATCAAATGACGGCACGAGCAAGTTGTGCAGCTGATGGTAAGCTACACGCCTGTCCGTAACGGTATCACTGCCGCGCAGAGCTTTAAATGTCAAAGATCTGTGGGGCACTGCCACTGCGCCCATCACCCTGAGGCATAAGTTAACAATTTCCATGTGCCTGTAATTTCACCAGCACCCTTACCCTTCAAAACTGGAACACAGTAATGCTGACATTACTGCTTGGCGGCAGAAGTAAGTAAGCTGGGTTATACGAACGCTTTCACCAGACGCTCTACTGCTACTAGTTTACTTAGTGTGTGCGTGTGGTGACGCTGGTTTTGATACCAATGCCGCTTATTGCCATTCTGTAGTTTGTTATTCCATGTTAAAGAAATACACTTTTTTCGACTTCGCAACTTTGCACCAATATATTATGTTTGTATTTATATGTCTATTTCCAAATAAGATATTGATTAATTTTGATTACAGTTCTATGAAATTTTGCCTAACAGAACCGGGAAATCTCTCTCCAAATTTCAATGTAATCTTAGACCCACTAACCTCATCACTTTTGAATGACTAAGGCGACTAAATTCCAAAGTTATAAGTGAAAGTCATTCCGTTCAGGTTTATTTGAGTAGATACCACACATTTTAGTGGTGTAATTGTTATGAGCTTTAGTAGAGTAAGTTATTAATCTTATATTGTTTGCAATTCTCATTAAGATGACAGGTCAGAAACTATGATAGCGTACCTTCAATTTCTCAGTAGTCTATTTTCACATCTCTCTCTCTAGTCGTTCCCACGTCTCAGGTTCGTACCTTCGTGCCTACTTCTGAAGCACCTGCTTCAGATCACCTGATCTGCCTCCATCTGTTTCTGTTCAGCACGTCTCTTATGACCGTGCAAAATTCGAAGAACGATGACATTTTCGTTATTTGATTTTCAATTCGGGATTTAATTACGTATAAAACCTATTTTAATTACCTCGACGTTTCGGACTCAGGAATTTGATGGAATCAGGACCAAACCACTGGATTGAGCTTCATAATCCAAAGATCCTTTCTACAGAACTTTATCACTATAATAGGATCGTACAATTTAAATTTAAACAACTTTGAAATTAATCAACACGGTAATTTCAACTGAGAAGACGGTTTAAGCTTTCATAGTCACGGGATCTAGTTATCAGCAAATGTAAACGACATCAAGTATCGCCCGATAAGTCGCCGGATGTCGTGAGTGTTGTGTTTCCGTCTACTGACAACCCTAGTGCACGAATACATAAAGAAGATGAAATGCGGGTAGTTAGAAAAATCTGTTGAGAAAAGTTTCACCAAGAAAAACTTTTTTCAAACAAAAAAATTTATGACAACTGATATTTTTGACTCTCGTTCTCATCGGTTGAACTCTCTCTCTCTCTCTTTCTCTCTCTCTTTCTCAGTTGAACTCTAGATTACATGCAGTTGAAGTCTCATTGAATAAAGTCGACTTCTCGACTGCGTGCACTAACCGCAGACGTGCAGTCCAGTAGTTGGCAGCCTAATACTGCCGCCGTTAGTTGAAAGGACGCATGTGACAAGAGCAAAAGAGCAACATAGTCAAAATAAGCTTAAATGGACGCATTTACAGAACAAATTGGTAAAAAGGCGTAATTCCATATATAAGTACCTACCTATCACACACTCGAATTTCTTTTTTTCGAATTTCATTAGTCCGAAAACGGTTCGACTGTTTCATTAGTGCGATGACAGTTTTGGTATAAATTTGCAACACAGGAATGTCTTACAGCAGAAATATAGTTTGTCCGAAAACCTAGTGTTAGAATAATTATTACACATACGCATTCTTTCGGCAGAAGTTTGTTTGGTCTAATCATGCGGCCAGCGAGTGCCAGAGCCGAATTTGTTTGCATTACCTAGACGGTACGACCCCGTCCTGTAGGTTTAGGTTGGGTTAGTATATGAAAAAGCAGCACGATCCGAGCTAGCAAAGCGAGTGACTACAACTCGATCAAATTAACATGCATCTTGTTTACTATATTTTTAAAAATGCGAGGTGCTTTAATTTGACGAGTTATATTATGCGACACGTTTTAATACTTTTAGTACCTGTAATAAGAAATAATATAACAAAAATGTATCATGGATATAGTTTTTTTACAAAATAAAAATATTGTATTAGATACATTGGTCAAACGGTTTGTTGGAGAAATAAAAATCGGGAAAAGAATAACTTGTCAACATGTCCAAATAGTGAAACATTAAATGGTGTAATGAAAAAAATCCTTAACGTGTTTTCGGACAAATGAAATAAAATCTATTCAATAAAAGTCAAATGGTTTTCGGAGAGACAAAATTCTGTAAATCATGTTTCTAACTTATGATGGGTCACTTCGTTTTACTCGTACTACTACACATTTCGTCGCGTAGCGTCTCCGCGATGTGATTCAAGCCTTGTAAATGAAAAGATGCAAGTAACATTTAACGGTCTAATAAATAATAAGAAAACTAATCAATGTCATATACATGTATTAACTGAGGAAGTTTTAGTAAAAATGTTAATTTACCAGATGACGATTACACATTGCTCACAGAAATTTAAAATGAAGTGGAAATGTTACTTTTTATTTAAATAATAAAAATCTAGGAAATATCAAGCTACGACTTAAAATTAAGACATTGTAACCACATACCGTCCCTCTTATTATTATATTCACGTTAATAAAAATTAAGTAAATTAATTTGCTATTCCGCGAACCCAATGATGGTTAAATCGAGTAAAATAGGCTTGTGTGGAATATTTTTTCATGCAGTTAATTATCCCACCCTCCCTCTGCATAAAATTAATAAAATAAATAACACAAGCCGAACTACAGTCACAAACCACCACTAAAAATATACCCGACATGTGTTTTGCCTCTCCACGAGGCATCCCTTTGGTGGGAATAATTAACTACATGAAAAAAATAAACACAAGCGCTATTTTGAACGATTTAACCTCCACTGGGTTCACGGAGTTGCAAATAAATTTACTTCCATTTTTATTAACATGGACTTCCGCAAAGTAACGCCTGAATCTACTAATTACCTATATTCAAGTTAACAATAATAATAATGTTGTAATTATGCTGAGTTGAAAATGAAAAGGGGTAATATTAAATAATGAAGCATAAATGTATTTGGCGTATAATATAGGTTAATCTTACAGGTTTTTTCGTTGCGAAACAGCAGATATATGTTCATTAATTTACTTCAAACGTTATTTTCTCGGTTTC